CTCCCCGTGGCACTCAGCATCCCCCAGGATCCCGTCCCGAGCACACGGATTGTGGAGCAGGGAAAAAAGGACAAACCCAGGCCTTCCAAACCTGCCTCAATCCCTCTTTTTTCCCGTGCCAGGGTGGCAGGGCAGGGCGCTCAGTGCATGCCAGGCTGGGTGTCCCCTCCCTGCTGCAGGCTGGGGACACGGCCAGGGGTCACCAGGTGACCTCAGGGCCACCCCTGGCATGGCAAAAAGGGGACACTTGTCCCTGCTGTCCTTGATGTCCCTGCTGTCCCTACTGGTCCCTGGTGATCCCTGCTGTTCCTGTGGTCCCTGATGTCCCTACTGGTCCCTGCTGGTCCCTGCTGGAGCAGAGCTGGCAGTGACACCCTCCCAGCCACGTAGGATCCCCTCCCGCTCCCAGCAGCCAAATTCCTGGAGGGATTTCAAGCTGCCTGGCTGCAGGAACACCCCGTGCGCTCATTTATCCCGGGATGGGGAGGCAGGATGATTCCAGAGCTGGAATCCTCCCGCTGCAACCTCACCTGGGCATGGCAGGAGGAGGCCACGGGGATCAGGGATGGGTTTGCCTCATTCCCTGCTCTCCTCTGGATCCATCACCGGGTGTTGTGCCCTCTCACACCGAGGGTGCTGCCCCTTTTTGTGCCTGGGGGAATGGAAGCTTGGAAGAGGTTTCAGCTCCAAAATCAGGCAGAATTTGTTTACCAGGATCTGCATCCTGCGCTTCTGTGGGGGAAGGGAGAGTTGGATGAAACCCACAGCGATTCCTGTCACCAGCGAGCAGAGCAGAAATAGCTCCTTCAAAAGATGCCTCCAGCTCCTTCAAAAGGCTCCTCGAGCTCCCAAAATCACCCTGATCTGGCAGCTTCCCCTCTCAGCCAGGGAACTCAAATCCCTTCTCCAAGGGGATCCAAATTCCTTCTCCTCCCTCCCAGGCAGAGCCAACCCCGGGCACCTCGTGTGACCCCGCACAGATCCGCGTGTCCCCAGGCTGCATCCTCCACCCAGAAACTGGGATGGAATTGGCCAGAAACCAGGATCTCACCAGCACAGCTCCACTGGGGTGGAGATTCCTCCCAAATCTCCCTCCAGGGTGGGAGGTTTCTCCCAAATCTCCACTGGGGTGGAGATTCCTCCCAAATCTTCACTGGTATCTCCCAAATCTCCACCAGGGATGGAGGTTCCTCCCAAATCCCCACTGGGAGGGAGTTTTCTTCCAAATCTCCACTGGTTTTCCCCAAATCTCCACTGAGGACTAAGGTTCCTCCAAAATCTCCACCAGGGATGGAGGTTCCTCCCTAAATTTCCACTGGGAGGGAAGTTTTTTCCCAAATCTCCACTGAGAACTAAGGTTCTTCCCAAATCTCCACCAGGGATGGAGGTTCCCCCCTCAAATTTCCACTGGTAAGGAGGTTTTTCCCAAATCTCCACTGGTTCCTCCTAGATCTCCACTGAGAACTAAGGTTCCTCCCAAATCTCCACCAGGGATGGAGGTTCCCCCCTCAAATTTCCACTGGTAAGGAGGTTTTTCCCAAATCTCCACTGGTTTCTCCCAAATCTCCACCAGGGAGGGAGGTTTTTCCCAAATCCCCACCGGTTCCTCCCAAATCTCCACCAGGCTGGAGTTTTGTCCAAGGTGAAAAGTGGGAAGATCACACAACTCCACACAGGAGAAATGTCCACAGCCGGGAATTTTTGGGTGGGATTCCCTCATCTCCTGCTTCTCCAGCACTGCCTGCTTTCCCAGCTCACCTTCCCATGGCTTTGTCCTCTCGCAGGTCTCTCCAGCGCCATGCCTCGGGCCACCATCCTCATCCTCATCCTGGCCGGGCTCTGCGGCTCCTCCCTGGGCCAGTACAACGAGGAGGAGGACCTGGCGTGGCTCCAGTACTACCTGCGGCAGTCCCGCGTCTCCTCCTACAACTACGTGCCCTACTACGAGGAGGAGAGCCCCGCGTACGCCTACTCCTACCCCTCTGCCACCGACACGGAGCCCGAGCCCGAGCCCGAGCCGCAGCAAGCGGCGCCCTGGCGGTGTCCCCAAGAGTGTGACTGTCCCCCCAACTTCTCCTCGGCCATGTACTGCGACACGCGCAACCTGCGGTACCTCCCGTTCGTGCCGTCGCGGATGAAGTACGTTTATTTCCAGAACAATCTGATCACCTCCATCCAGGAGGGGGCCTTCGACAATGCCACCGAGCTGGAGTGGCTGGCGCTGCACAACAACCAGATCAGCAGCGAGAAGATGGGGAAAAGGGTTTTTGGGAAGCTGCAGCGCCTGGAGAGGCTCTACATGAACAACAACAACCTGACCAGGCTGCCCGGCCCGCTGCCGCGCTCACTGCGCGAGCTCCACCTCTCCTATAACCAGATCTCCAAGGTGCCTTCCAACGCTCTGGAGGGGCTGGAGAACCTCACGGCGCTGTACCTCAGCCACAACTTCATCTTCGAGATGGGCGCGTCCCTCAAGGGGCTCAAGTCGTTGATCCTGGCCGACCTGAGCTACAACAACCTGAGGAAGGTCCCCGACGGGCTGCCGGCGTCGCTGGAGCAGCTCTACCTGGAGTACAACTACATCAACGCCATCCCCGACGATTATTTCCAGGTGTCCCCCAGGCTGCTGTACGTGAGGATGTCCCACAACAGCCTGACCAACCAAGGGCTCTCCAGCAACACCTTCAACAGCAGCAGCATCCTGGAGCTGGACCTCTCCTACAACCGGCTGCAGAAGATCCCGCGGGTCAACACCAACCTGGAGAACCTCTACCTGCAGGGCAACCAGATCAACGGTGAGCAGGGCTGGGGAAAGGGCGGTGGGGAACCCTGGGGAAGCGCCTGGGGGTGCTTTGAGTGGGAATTTGGGGTTCCTGAGGGTTTCTGAGCGAGGCAGGGGTGGGAGCTGTCCCAGCCTGGAGGGTTCCTGTGGGATCTCTGCGCTGGATTTTGGGGGATTCCCAGGAGCCTGGGCATCTGCTGGGGTTGGGGAGGGTGGAAAGCAGGGGATGAACCAGCTGGGATGGGGTCAGGGGGGCCAAGAGGGGTCACAGCAGTGGGCAGAGCTGGGGGGTCCTCACAACCATGCTGGGGACATGGAACACCCTGGGCAATGTCAGCACAGGGGACAGGGACCTTGCTTAGTGCCAGCACAGGGGACAGGGACACTCTGCAGTGCCAGCACAGGGGACAGGGACATTGCCCAGTGCCCACACAGGGGACAGGGACACTCTGCAGTGCCAGCACAGGGGACAGGGATGTTCCCTGGTGCCAGCACAGGGGACAGGGACATTCCCTGGTGGCAGCACAGAGGACAGGGACATTGCCCAGTGCCAGCACAGGGGACAGGGACACTCTGCAGTGCCAGCACAGGGGACAGGGATGTTCCCTGGTGCCGGCACAGGGGACAGGGACACTGCCTGGTGCCAGCACAGGGGACAGGGCCATTCCCTAGTAACAGCACAGGGGACAGGGACACTCTGCAGTGCCAGCACAGGGGACAGGGACATTGCCCAGGGCCAGCACAGCCCCTCTGTCCCCTGCACAGCCCCACCCGTGTCCCCAAGGCCCGGTGTCCCAGCCCGCAGCTGAGGGGTCTGTCCTTCCCCGGGGAGCTCTGGGCCCGATCTCCCGGCAGGCCTGAGGCTCCCTCCCCTCCAAACACAAACAAACAAAGGGAACGGATTGTTCCGGGGCTGCTATTTATAAAAACGGGCTGGAAAAATCAACCCCCGAGCAAAAGCTCCCGGGAAAAATCGGCCCTGCTCCCCCCACCTGCCAGGGGCTGAGGGAAGGGCTGGGCTGGGATGGGGATTGGGAATGGGAATGGGATGGGAATGGGAATGGGAATGGGATTGGGGATGGGATTGGGATGGGAATGGGATTGGGCTGGGAATGGAATGGGAATGGGGATAGAAATGGAATTGGGATGGGGATGGAATGGGAATGGGATTGGGATGGGAGGGGATGGGATGGGATGGGATGGGATGGGGATGGGAATGGGAATGGAATGGGAATGGAATGGGAATGGGATTGGGATGGGAATGGGGATGGAATTGGGATGGAATGGGAACAGACACAGGGATGGGAATGAGAATGGGAATGGGAACAGGGACAGGGATGGGATATGAGAATGGGAAATGGGAATTGGGATGGGGATGGAATGGGAAATGGGGATGGGAATTGGAATGGGGTTGGGAAATGGGGATGGGACTGGGACTGGGAAGGTGTCAGTGCAGCCATCAGCTGTTGCAGGGAAAACACAGAACCCCGCAGCGGGGAGCTGCCAGCAGCACAGACACGGGAACAGATTCCCAAATGTTTGCTTTCCAAACCGGAGCTGCCGCCGTCTGCCCACAAACGCCGCGGAGCCACCGCCGGCTCCTCCTCCCCCTCCTCCTCCTCCTCCTCCTCCTCCTCCTCTGCGGGTCCTGCTGACCTTCACAGCCCCCCAGGATCGGGGACGCGGCTCCAGGGCCTCGGCCCAACCCCTTGGAGCATCCGGACCTTGGTGCTGCCCCTCTGCCCCACCGAGGGTCCCCTCCGTGGGTGCAGCCCCCAAATCCCAGCGATCCCCCCCAGCATCCCGCTGCCTTTTCCAGCAGCAGCCCGGCCTGGAGCTCTGCTGCCCTCTAGGCTCAAATCCTGCACGGAAAAAAAACCCCAAAAATGTATTTTGGACTCTGCTCCATCTCCCGCTTCCAAAGGCAGCCGGGGCTGGGCTGGGCTGGAATTTCCCTGCCTGGCGCTGGCAGCAGAGGAGCGCAGAGGGGACGGCTGGGATGGGGACAGGGACATCCCCGCTCCTGGACACGCTGCTCGGGGGTCCCGCAGTGGCCAGAGGGGTCAGGGCATGGAGGCTGCAGCGCAGGAAGCCTCCAAAAGAGGCTGGAAAGGCAAATCCTGATGGAAAGAAACGTTTCCTGTCCGACTCCACCCTCCGGGCTCTCCATCCCGGCTGGGAAGGGAAGATTCCAAATCCTCCTGCTCCTCCTGGCTGCGGCCAGGAGCACCAGGAATGCTTTTAGCTTGAGGGGTTGAGTGCAAATCCGCAGGAAAAATCAGAGAATTTGGGCTGCTCCCGTTCTTTTCCCCCCCTGCCTGTCTTAACACAAAGCAGCTCTCAGAGGTGGATCCCTCAGAACAATTTCCCACTAAAAATCAGCCCTTTGGGGAAGGCTGTGGGTGTTCAACTGCAGTGATGCCTTGAGAAGGCTGAGATAAAACAGAGGCCAGACAGAGCTCAAGAATAAACAGGGATTTATTAAAAGGATCTCCTCCATGGATCCACCTTGGGCAGCACAAGAGCCCAGCCAGGGCTGCACCCAAATGAACCAAAATGGGCACAAAATGAACCCAAGATGAACCAAAATGGTCACAACGAACCCAAGATGGACCAAAATGGTCACAAAATGAACCCAAGATGGACCTAAAATGGTCACAAAATGCACAACACTCATGGGGCCTCTCACTTTTATCAGTTCTGCTCCATTTGCATATTGGAGTTAATTGTCCAATTCCAGCTCCAGCCCATGCAGGCCCACCCTTGTTTTTCTCTCTTCATTCCACATTGTTTGTGCTCGTGTGGTGAGATTTGGATCATTTGAAATTTGGATCATTGAGAGGACCTGAGATTTGGATCATTTGTCCTTGGTCCCCAGCTAGAGCAGGAATTGTTTTGTCTCTGTGCGCAGAGCTCACCACCCCCTGACACAAACCCCAGACCCACACCCGAAAGCAGCCCGGAACCTAAAAACCCCAAACCCCAAAACGCTGAGGCCTCACCATCCCCTCTCCCCCGCAGAGTTCTCCATCAGCAGCTTCTGCTCCGTGGTGGATGTCATGAACTACTCGCGGCTGCAGGTGCTGCGCCTCGACGGCAACGCCATCAAGCGCAACGCGGTGCCCCCGGACGCGCCGCTGTGCCTGCGCCGCGCCACCGTCATCGAGATCTGAGCCCCCCCAGGACTCTGTCCCCCGCCCCCGGGGGGACTCCCCTCCTTCCTGCTTTCCCATCCCACTCGGCTGGGTGGTGGCGGCGTGCTCCCGGTTTTCCCGAAATTCTCCATTTTTTTTTTTTGCGCTCAGATCTCGGCTCTGGGCCCGCCACAAAGCGCTGTCACCTCCTGTCCCGGGCTGGGGTGGGACACGGCAGGGGTGGGGCTCATCCCGCCTTGGGCATGGGGAAATCAAATCCCGACCCCAAATCCGGGTCTGAACTCCCTGAAAGGAGAATCCTTCCAAGGGGATCAGACCTTTTTCCATGGGGAAATCCCAATCCCGACCCCAAATCCAGGTCTGAACCCCCTGAAGGAGCATCCATCCAGGGGGATCAGACCCTTTTCCCATGGGGAAATCCCAATCCCAATCCCAAATCTGGGTTTGAACCCCCTGAAGGAGCATCCTTCGAGGGGGATCATACCCTTTTCCCATGGGGAAATCCCATGGGGATCAGACCCCTTTTCCATGGGGAAATCCCAGTCGCGATCCCAAATCCAAGTCTGAACCCCCTGGGAAGAGTATCCTTCCATGGGGATCAGAATCTCTTTCCATGGGGAAATCAAATCCCGATCCCAAATCTGGGTCTGAACCCCCTGAAGGAGCATCCAAGGGGTTGGGAGCTGCAGGAGTGAAGGGTTGAAGATCTCCAGGCTGGAGGATCCCTCAGTGGGGTGAGGAGGAACAAATCCTTCTCTTCCCTTCCATTTTTCCCCCTTTTCCATCAACCTGCTCCAGAATTAATGAGAGAAACCCTAAAGGAGAGAAACCCACCCTGGGGTGAGAGGGAAACCCCCGAGGAACTGGGGCTCCCAAATCTTCCTCCCGACCCCCTGGAGCCGGGCAGGACGGGGAAAATCCTGGTGCTGTCCCCCCCCTGGAGCTGTCACCCCTGGAGCTGTCACCCCCAGCTGCCCCTCCCTGAGCTCAGGCCCCCGGGATATCCCAATTAAAACCTCAAAACCAACCACAGAGCCACGCTGGAATTCCCTAAAAATCCCAAATTCCCCAGCTCAGCCCCTCGGGTGGCTGAGTTTGAGGACGAAGGGGCAGCTGAGCTTTGGGGTCGCCAGTCCAGGTGGTCACCCCGGCCCTCCGCGTTGTTCCTGCATGCAAAGTTCATTTTTAAAAACCCAGAAAAATCCCATAATTTCACCAGCATGAACTGTAAACCCCAAAGCCGTCAATAAAACCCTTCCAGTGCCTGCACCCAGCGCTTCTCCTCCTCTCCGGGATGGATTTCCTGCCATAATCCAGGCTGGAATTGCCGTCTAGCGGCTGGCCCGGGCATGGCACGGAGATTTCCCGGGAAAGGGAAAATCTCCATGGAAAAGGCTCAGCGGGAGCGGGGAGGGATGGAGGCACCACTGGGGGTTTTTTTTCTGGACCCTTCTGGCTTCGGTCCTGCGGATTTTTAACAGCCGGGCTGGGGGATGGTTGAAAAATAAGGGAATGAAAAATAGGAATTTCACACGGAGGGGAACAGAAAGTGCCGTGTCCCAGGCTGGGAGCAGCCAGGGAAGCAGAGCCTACAGGATTCTGTGGGATGCAGGAGTTGGGATTCCAAAAAAACCCCAATCCCTGGTCAGGGGCAGCCCCAAAGCTGCAGCCAAGGCTCCTGGAGAAGCCAGGCAGGAAAATCCCACCCAATCCTTTGGGACACCTCTCCTACATCCCAGGGTGGCAAAGGGACAGTCACATCCCAAAATCCCAACCTCCAATCCTTTGGGACACCTCTCCTACATCCCAGGGTGGCAAAGGGACAGTCACACCCTCATCACATCCCAAAATCCCAAACTCCAATGCTTTGGGACACCCTTTCCCCATCCCAGGGTGGCACAGGAACATTCACATCCTCATCCCAACATGCCAAACCCCATCCCAGAGATCCAAATCCTCCCGGAGGCACCAGGAGGGGATGCAGGATTGGGGAGGTTCTAGGGAGCCCAAATCCCATAATTTCAGAAGGATCTGGGAATAGCAGTCTAGATGAACAACCAAAGGGGTTGGGGAGGTTTTAGGAAGTCCCAATCCCATAGTTTCAGAGGGATCTGAGAAGGAATGTCCAGATGAACAACCAAATGGGTTGGGAAGGGGATTTAGGGAGCCCACATCCCGTAATTTCAGAGGGATCTGGGAATAACAGTCTAGATGAACAACCAAATGGGTTGGGGAGGTTTTAGGGAGCCCCAGTTCCATAATTTCAGAGGGATCTGGGAAGGAATGTCCAGATGAACAACCAAAAGGCTTGAGGAGGTTTTAGGGAGCCCAAATCCCGTAATTTCAGAGGGATCTGGGAATAACACTCCAGATGAACTACCAAAGGGTTTGGGGAGGTTTTAGGGAGCCCAAATCCCGTAATTCCAGGATGGGAAGGGAACAAACAAAACCCCGGAGCAGCTCCAAGGCTCCTGCAGCAGCTGCTGGCTCCGGGCAGGGCTGGGAATTCCGGATTCCCACCAGCTGGGGGGAAGGGCAGGGGGCAGAGGCTCAGGGCACCCCCTGCCCTCTTTCCCCCCTCCCCAAAATCCAGGGACAGCCCCCATTGGTCCCACAGGCGCCCAATCTCTGCCTTGTTGTGGTGGGAGCAGCGGGGAACGGGGGCTGGGCTCCCCCTCCTCATCCCCTTCCTCCTCCTCCTCCTCCTGTTGCCGGGAGGATCTGCGGGGTCCGGGGGGCCCCTGGATCCCACCCAGGAGGAGGAGGAGGAGGAGGAGGAGGAGGAGGGAGGGGGGCGTGCAGGGCTTTGTCCAGACCCACAGAGCAGGAAAAAGGAGGGGAAAACCCCAAATCAACCCAAAAACCCCCCCTGGAGGCTGGAGGGGCTTTGGGGGCGCTGCTGCAGGGGGGGACCCGCAGCTGCAGCCCCCCAAAATCACATCGGGGCTCTGGGGCTCTCCCAAGGACTCTCCTGGGCTGGGGGATGTCAAAATCCACTGGGGACCAGCAGGATGTCTTCAGAACCACTCAGATTTTGCCCTAAAACCCAAAAATGTTGCCCTCAAACCATCAAATTTTGGCCTGAACCCCCATATTTTGCCCTGAACCCTCCAGATTTTGCCCTAAACCCCCAAAATTTTGCTCTCAAACCCTCAAATTTTGGCCTGAACCCCCATATTTTGCCCTGAACCCTCCAGATTTTGCCCTAAAACCCGAAAATTTTGCCCTCAAACAATCAAATTTTGCCCTGAACCCCAATATTTTGCCCTGAACCCCTATATTTTGCCCTGAACCCTCCAGATTTTGCCCTAAAACCCCAAAATTTTGCCCTCAAACCCTCAAATTTTGCCCTGAACCCCCATCTTTTGCCCTGAACCCTCCAGATTTGCCCCGAGACCCCCAAATTTTGCCCTCAAACCCTCAAATTTTGCCCTGAACCCCCATCTTTTGCCCTGAACCCTCCAGATTTGCCCCGAGACCCCCAAATTTTGCCCTCAAATCCCAAAATTTTGCCCTGAAACCCCAAAATTTTGCCCTCAAACCCCTATATTTCGCCCTCAGACCCTCAAATTTTGCCCTCTAACCCCAACATTTTGTCCCCAAACCCACAAATTTTGCCCTGAAAACCCCAAATTCCACCTCTACTCCTTTCCACATTTCTCCCCCTAATTCTCCACCTCTTCTTGCCTGCTTTTTTTTTTTTTTTTTCCTTCCCTCCCGTTTTGCAGCCTCCCTCCCCCAGCTCCAACACTTCCCAGACTGTTTGTAAACATTCCCTTTAGGATGTTTCCTCGGGAAGCGCAAATTCCCGGCGGGAAACAACCCCTCCAAATATTTCCCTTTTGGAAAAGCACCAAAAAAAACCCCAAAAAAGCAGCGAGGCAGAGGGCGCTGGGCTCATCCCAGCGGGATCCGGGGTGGGCAGAACCCCCCAGGAGCGGGGACGGGAGTCAGGACAGTGACACCCAAACCGCTGGTGGCACTCAGGGAATTGTCACCGGTGTCGCCTCCTCTTTGCTCGATTCTGATCGGATTTACCCCAAAAACTCTCCTGGGCGGAGGAGCTTTGGGGACAAAGGGACAAGGGATGGGCAGAGCATGCTGGGGGTGGGTGGGGACGGTAATTAAGGTTGATAATTAATAATTATCCGGCCGCAGCAGCTGGGGAGAGATAGGGGAGCAGCGGGAAAAGATTCCCGGGAGGGGAAATCCCAGCCCTGGATTGAGAGGTCCCAAACGGAGCTGGATTTGGGGTCTGGCAGGTTTGGGGTCTCTCCACCCGCTCTGGGAAGATGAGGGGCTCCCCCCTCTGAGAGCCCAAAAGATTTGTGGGGTCCACGGGGAAAGCCCTGCTCCCCACACCCCACCCCGGCAGGATTTTGGGTGTAGAAGAGCAGAGATTTGGATGGGTGTAGAAGAGGAGAGATTTGGGCAGGAAATTCCCGATCTGTTAACTCTGAATCAGGAGAGAAACTGAGCTGGATTTTGGCTCTCTCCATCCTCTCTGGGATGATTCTCATCCCTCTGAGATCCCAAACACTTTGGGGAGACCATGGGGAAAGCCTTGCTCCCCACATCTCCTCAGCAGCATTTTGGGTGTAGAACGGATTTTGGGTCTCTCCATCCTCTCTGGGATGATTCTCATCCCTCTGAGATCCCAAACACTTTGGGGGACCATGAGGAATACCCTGCTCCCCCCACACACTCCAGGCAGCATTTTTGGGTGTAGAAGAGGAGAGATTTGGGCAGGAAATTCCCAATCTGTTCAGCTCCACATCAGGAACAAAACTGAGCTGGATTTTGGCTCTCTCCATCCTCTCTGGGATGATTCTCATCCCTCTGAGATCCCAAACACTTTGGGGGGCCCATGGGGAAAGCCCTGCTCCCCCCACACCCCCAGCAGCACTTTGGGAACGGCAGGGGGAAGTTGGGGCAGGAAATTCCCGATCTGTTCAGCTCCCATTCTTGCCTCCCCCGTGTCCCCCGGCCATCTGTCCCTCCGCTCGTGCCATAAATACCAAACCCGGCTTTGTCCCTGCCCCAAAAGGCACCGAGGGCCCCCCCGAACCCCCCCAGAGCTGCCGGGGGCTCTGGTTTGGGGCAGCATCGCCATTCCCCCCATCCAGGGCGAGAATAGATAGAAATAAATAAATAAATACATAAATAAAATAAAATAAAATAAAATAAAATAAAATAAAATAAAATAAAATAAAATAAATATATTATATTATATTATATTATATTATATTATATTATATTATATTATATTATATTATATTATATTATATTTATATATATACATACATATATTTTTATATATATATATAAACACATATATAAAATAGTCCATTGCAACAAGAAAATCAGCTCAGGTTTTGTCGAACAACCCAGTGTTTAGATCTTCAAGCGTTCACATATTTTATTTAGAGATTGGGAAAAGATTTGCAGGAGGAGGCGAAAGCGCCGCCACCTGAACATACTTGGAGATTTAAAAAAAATAAATTTGGCTTCCATCAGGGCAGGCCAAGTGGGTGACGGCACGGGTGACAGTGCGGGTGACAGCGAGGGTCAGTGCCGGTGACAGCATGGATGACAGTGCGGGTGACAGCATGGGTGACAGCGCGGGTGACAGCGCGGGTGACAGTGCCGGTGACAGTGCGGGTGACAGCACGGGTGACAGCACAGGTGACAGTGCGGGTGACAGTGCGGGTGACAGCGTGGGTGAACGGGTGACAGCACAGGTGACAGTGCGGGTGACAGTGCGGGTGACAGCGTGGGTGACAGTGCCGGTGACAGCGCGGGTGACAGCGCGGGTGACAGCATGGGTGACAGCATGGGTGACAGTGCGGGTGACAGCACGGATGACAGTGCTGGTGACAGTGCGGGTGACAGTGCCGGTGACAGCACGGATGACAGTGCGGGTGACAGCGCAGGTGACACCACCAGTGACAGCAGGGGCGACAGCGCGGGTGACAGCAAGGGTCAGTGCCAGTGACAGCGCGGGTGACAGCACCAGTGACAGCAGGGGCGACAGCGTGGGTGACAGCGAGGGTCAGTGCCAGTGACAGCACCGGTGACAGTGCGGGTGACAGCGCGGATGACAGTGCCGGTGATACTGCGGGTGACAGCATGGGTGACACCGCCGGTGACAGCGCGGGTGACAGCGCCGGTGACAGTGCCGGTGACAGTGCCGGTGACAGTGCCGGTGACAGTGCCGGTGACAGTGCCGGTGACAGTGCCGGTGACAGTGCCGGTGACAGTGCCGGTGACAGCGCCGGTGACAGCGCGGGTGACGGCACGGGTGACGGCGTGGGAGACAGCACGGGTGACAGGGTGGGTGACACTGCCGGTGACAGCGTGGGTGACAGCACGGGTGACAGCACCGGTGACAGTGCGGGTGACGGCGTGGGAGACAGCGCGGGTGACAGGGTTGGTGACACCGCTGGTGACAGCACAGGTGACAGCACGGGTGACAGCACGGGTGACAGCACGGGTGACAGCGCGGGTGACAGCGCGGGTGACAGCGCGGGTGACAGTGGTGGTGACAGTGCGGGTGACAGCGCGGGTGACAGCGCGGGTGACAGCGCCGGTGACAGCGCGGGGGACAGCGCCGGTGACAGCGCCGGTGACAGCGCCGGTGACAGCACGGGTGACAGCGCGGGTGACAGCGCGGGTGACAGTGCCGGTGACAGTGCCGGTGACAGCGTGGGTGACAGTGCCGGTGACAGTGCGGGTGACAGCGCGGGTGACACCGCAGGGATCAGCCCCAGCCCCGCCCCAGCTGCCACAGTTCGGGTGTTTGTGAGAATCAATGAGGGGCTGAGCTCAAAAAATGAGGAGAGACCCGAGGCAGCACCCAAATCCCGACAAATTCACCCAAATCCTGCCAAATTCACCCAAATCCTGCCAAATTCACCCAAATTCAGCCAAATAAACCCAGCCAAATCCACCCAAATCCTGACAAATCCTGCCAAATCTACCCAAATCCACCCAAATCCTGCCAAATTCACCCAAATTCAGCCAAATAAACCCAGCCAAATCCACCCAAATCCTGACAAATCTACCCAAATTCACCCAAATCCACCCAAATTCACCCAAATCCAGCCAACTCCACCCAAATCCACCCAAATTCACCCAAATCCACCCAAAAAGTGTTTGGGGAGGAGGGGAGGGGCAGCTCAGTGCCCCCCAAGAGGCATCAGGGCCCTGAATTCCCTAAAATTCCCTAAATTATGGCCTGGCAGAGCCCTAAATTCCCTAAACCCTCCTAAATTCCATGAAAAAGGAGTTTTGGGTCAAAATAAAACAAGGCCAGGGCGCTGAAGGAGGTCTGGTGTCAGAGGGAATGGTCACAGAGAGGCTGGAAGGGACTCAAACCCTCCTAAATTCCATAAATTTGGAGTTTTGGGGTCAAAATAAGCACAAGCCGATTGAGGCAAGGCCCTTATACATAATATAAAAATAATAAAGATTAAATAATAATAAATAATAAATTATCTTTATATAAATAAGAAATTTACCTTAGAAATAAATTTATCTCTATAAATATATATATCTATATATAGATTAATAAATAATAATTAATTTTTTAAAATTTTTTAAATATAAAAAAATAGAAAAATATCTAATTTATTTTTTTTTGCCCCGCCTCCACCTGGCAGGACAGGAGATTTCCACCCCCTGAGTCATTCCCAGCCTGAATTCCCGGGCCGGGAGTCACACCTGGAGCAAGCAGCTCTTTGTCCTGGGCGAGGCAGGAAATTCATCCCCACGGCATTCCCAGGAAATCCCGAAGCTCCCCCAGGAACGAGGCAGGCGCGGCTGGAACGCTGCGTTTTTATTAAAGTAATTAAAAAAGCACCGGGGGGGGTGGAAAATGTTCTGTAATTCGGGAAGAGGCTGATCCCTCCCGCGGGTCTGAGCGTTTTCAGCAGGGAAAAAAAGGGAAAAACACAAAAAAAAAGGAAAAAAAAAACCATACCCAACCCAAAAAAAATCCCCAAAGAACCACCAAAATAACCCAATAAGAAAACCCCCTGAAACAACGAAAACCCCAAAATAACCTCCCCCCAAAAACAAAAACCCCAGAACTCCCCCAGGAAAACCGAAAGAAAAAATAAAAAACCCTAGCAACAAAAAATTTTAAAAAACAAAAAAAAAACCCCAAAACCAGACAAAAAAACCCCCCAAAACCTCACAAAAAAAAAAAAACCCCCAAAACAAAAAAAAAATCCCCGAAACCAGACAAAAAAACCCCCAAAACCTCACAAAAAAAAAAAAAAAAAAAAGAAACCCAACGAAATAACCCAAAAATCAAGAAGCAGGTCCCGTTCAACAGTCCAGCTCGGTTAAAAATAAAAAATAAAAAATAAAAATAACAATATTGACAGCAACCCCCGACAGACACAGTCCAAAATCCACATCAGGCTTGGAGGCGAAAGGCAACGAGAGCTCAGGAATTCACAGCTTTTTGTGTCACCAGCTACCAGAGAGAAGTGGATTCTACCCAAATTTGGTTGGTTTTGAAGCTTATTTTTTTTTTAAAAAAAAAAATCACCTTGGAGATGAGGATGTTTTGGTGGGAAATTCTTGGGAAACTCTGGGCAGAGGGAGGGAAGAAATCAAATTTTGATTGTTTTGATTTTCCTCCTGGGGGCTGCTCAAAGTGAGGAATGCCCAAAAAAAAATGCAGTGGGATTTCTTTTCCTGGAATAAAATTTTGCTTATTTTTCTTTTTTTTTTGTTTTTTTTTTTGGATGTGGGTGAGGTCACGTATTGCACAAGTGAAAATCCCTCCCAGTGCTTCCTTCCTGCTGTGCTGACGTGAGAAATTCAGGTTAGAGGGAAGTGATGCAACTCCAGACTGCTCTGATCTCCTCAGGCACAAACAACCTGACATTTCCAAACCAAAAAATACACAAATATTTGAGAATCGAGGCTGATCTTCCACTTCTTGATGGTTTTAAAAATAAAATCTGAATTTTACAAGGCAGGGCTGGGTAATTTAACGTATTCAAGAACCAGCTGGGGGTTTCCTACCTCTCCCAGAGCAGCCAGGATTTGGGAAAATATTGCACAAATATCTGAGGACTTGAGTCACCACGGGCTGGGTGAGAACAGCTCTGGGTTTGCCACGTCAGGAAAAGGGGAAGGTGCAGCTCAGACGAAAATCTGGGAAGTTTTGCTGCAAAAAGCACAAATTTTTCTGCCTGGGGGGAGCTCCGGGGGGTGGGAAAAGGGAGTGGATGTGGGATAGCCCAGGAAAAGGGGGTTTAGGGCAGTGAGCTGCCAATAAATTTGGGGTTTAAAGGTGAAATCCTAAAGGAAATTATTTTAAGGGTTTTTAGTGGTGTTTGTAATGCTCCTTCCCAGCATCAGGTGGGGTTTAGAACCTTTAGATGCCACTAATTTGGGGTTTAAAGCCCAAATCCTAATGAGAAATCCTTTTAAGGGTTTTTAGTGGTGTTTGTAATGCTCCTTCCCAGCATCAGGTGGGGTTTAGAACCTTTAGATGCCACTAATTTGGGGCTTAAAGCCCAAATCCTAAAGAAAAATCCTTTTAAGGGTTTCCCAGAGGAGTTTGCAGTGCTCCTTCCCAGCAGGCAGGTGGGGTTTAGGATCTCTAGCTGCCCCTAAATTTGGGGTTTAATGCCCAAATTCTAAAGAAAATCCTTTTAAGGGTTTTTAGTGGTGTTTGTAATGCTCCTTCCCAGCATCAGGTGGGGTTTAGAACCTTTAGATGCCACTAATTTGGGGTTTAAAGCCCAAATCCTAAAGAAAAATCCTTCTAAGGGTTTCCCAGAGGAGTTTGCAGTGCTCCTTCCCAGCAGGCAGGTGGGGTTTAGGATCTTTAGCTGCCCCTAAATTTGGGGTTTAAAGCCCAAATCCTAAAGAAAAATCCTTCTAAGGGTTTCCCAGAGGAGTTTGCAGTGCTCCTTCCCAGCAGGCAGGTGGGGTTTAGGATCTTTAGCTGCCCCTAAATTTGGGGTTTAAAGCCCAAATCCTAAAGAAAAATCCTTTTAAGGGTTTCCCAGAGGAGTTTGCAGTGCTCCTTCCCAGCAGGCAGGTGGGGTTTAGGATCTCTAGCTGCCCCTAAATTTGGGGTTTAATGCCCAAATTCTAAAGAAAATCCTTTTAAGGGTTTTTAGTGGTGTTTGTAATGCTCCTTCCAGCACCAGGTGGGGTTTAGGGCATTTAGCTGCCAATAAATTTGGGGTTTAAAGGCCAAATCCTAATGAGAAATCCTTTTAAGGGTTTTTATTGGTGTTTGCAGTGCTCCTTCCAGCATCAAGTGGGGTTTAGGGCATTTAGCTGCCCCTGAATTTGGGGTTTAAAGCCCAAATCCTAAAGAAAAATCCTTTTAAGGGTTTCCCAGAGGAGTTTGCAGTGCTCCTTCCCAGCAGGCAGGTGGGGTTTAGGATCTTTAGCTGCCCCTAAATTTGGGGTTTAAAGCCCAAATCCTAAAGAAAAATCCTTTTAAGAGTTTTTAGTGGTGTTTGTAATGCTCCTTCCAGCACTAGGTGGGGTTTAGGGCCTTTAGCTGCCACTGAGTTTGGGGTTTAATGCCCAAATCCCAAAAAGCACCTGGGCAGAGCCCCCCTGGACGCAAAAGGGGCAGAGAGCAGGAATTTAAAATCCTGCAGAAAGTTTTGTACCAAAGAGATGGGACCCAAATCCCTTTCCCAAGGGGGGGGCAGGGAAGTGCTGGGGCTTTAAAAAGCAACGTCAGGACCCCAAAAACACCTCAACAAGCCCCAAAAAGTCCAGATTTGAGGAGAAAAGGCAGCAAAAAGGGGGTGCCACACCCCAACCTCTGCAGGACAAGGACGGAAGGGACACGAAGAGGAGGATGGGGACACAGAGGGGACACCAGGGCAGGGCTGAGCCCCTGGGAGCAGAAAAGCTTTGGAATTCCCAGCAGGTCCGGGGTGGTGACAGCAGGAATGTCCCCTCAGCGCCACCAGGGTCACGCTGGGGACACTGCCAGGTGCTCCACGTGCCAGGTGAGCCCTTCCAGGGGCTGGGAGAGGGCAGGGCAGAGCTGCAGCACGTCCAGGAGGGCGACCCCAATGTCCCCAAGGTCACCCGAGGTGACAGCAAATCCAGAGAGCAGCACCGCAACACCTGGAGATGCAGCAGCAAGGTGACAGCGGGGTGGTGACAAGGTGACATCACAGCCACGCTGGCCAGACTGGCTTCACCCCCTCATCCCCCATTCCAAGGTGAGCAAAGCCAGCCCCAAAATCGTCATCCAACACGAAATTAGGCAGATCTCAGCTTGACAATAATTAAAAAAAAAGAGAAACTCACAAGCTTGCAACAGCTTTAGAAAAGGCACCTGGGGCGTCGCCTCGGCTCGGAGCGGCGCCCAACATTTTAATTTTGGATTTTCTGGAGGTTTTTGGGTTTTTTTTTAAAAAATATAAATAGCTCTTCATCTTAAAAATAGATCCTCAGCTTGAGGTATTACAGTAGCCTGTGTCTTGGCAGTGTATTAAAGCCGAGGAGATTTTTTTTTTTTGTTTTCGGGGTTTGTTGTTTTTTTTTTTTTTTTTTTTTTTTTTTGTTTGTTTGTTTTAACTGGAAACAGTCATGATGTAGTTTTTGGAAGGGCTGCTACGGCCCAGCATCATCTGGTTCTTGCAGGTGAGCATCCCTCCGCAGGAGCTGGGGGCTCTGCTGGCCTGGTAGAGGACGCAGATGGAGCCGTCCTCGCCGATGCGGTAGCACACCTCGAAGGGGTCCACCCAGAGCGTGAGCTCGCGGGGCAGCAGCTGCAGCAGCTGGGGCAGCCCCAGCCCCACGTGCCCCCCGGCACGGCTGATCAGCGGGTCCATGCGCTGGTTGATGCGGATGCAGCGGTAGCCGGAGCCTTTGGAGGGTTTCTCGGGGAACCAGTGGTGTCTGTAGTGCTCTGGGGAGGGAAAAAGAGCTGTGAGAAAGGGGTTTGGGGTGTTTAGATGTCATTAAATTTGGGGTTTAGAGGTGAAATCCTAAAGAAAAACCCTTTGGAGGGTTTCTCTGGGAACCAGGGGGGTCTGTAGTGCTCTGGGGAGGGAAAAACAGCAGTGAGGGCCTTTAGCTGCCAGTAAATTCAGCGTTTAAAGGCCAAATCCTAAAGAAAACCCTTTTTTCTCAGTGGTGTCTGTAGTGCTCTGGGGAGGGAAAAAAAGCAGTGAGAAAAGAATATCCCACAGGTAGGTGGGGTTTAGGGCCTTTACATGTCATTAAATTTGGGGTTAAAGGTGAAATCCTAAAGAAAACCCCTTTGGAGGGTTTCTCAGGGAACCAGTGGTGTCTGTAGTGCTCTGGGGAGGTGAGAAGAGCTGTGAGAAAAGAATATCCCACAGGTAGGTGGGGAACCAGTGGTGGCTGTAGTGCTCTGGGGGGGGAAAAAGAGCTGGGAGAAAGGGGTTTGGGGGGTTTAGCTGTCATTAAATTTGGGGTTTAGAGGTGAAATCCTAAAGAAAAACCCTTTGGAGGGTTTCTCTGGGAACCAGGGGTGTCTGTAGTGCTCTGGGGAGGGAAAAAGAGCTGTGAGAAAAGAATATCCCACAGGTACGTGGGGTTTGGGGTGTTTAGCTGCCACTAAATTTGGGGTTAAAGGTGAAATCCTAAAGAAAACCCCTTTGGAGGGTTTCTCAGGGAACCAGTGGTGTCTGTAGTGCTCTGGGGAGGGAAAAA